CGAACCATGAAGTGTCGAACCATGAAGTGTCGATCTATGAAGTGTCGAACTATGAAGTGTCGAACCATGAAGTGTGGAACTATGAAGTGTAGAACCATGAAGTGTCGAACTATGAAGTGTCGAACTATGAAGTGTCGAACTATGAAGTGTCGAACCATGAAGTGTGGAACTATGAAGTGTGGAACTATGAAGTGTGGAACTATGAAGTGTGGAACTATGAAGTGTGGAACTATGAAGTGTGGAACCATGAAGTGTCGAACTATGAAGTGTCGAACTATGAAGTGTGGAACTATGAAGTGTGGAACTATGAAGTGTGGAACTACATGTATGAAGTGTGGAACTACATGTATGAAGTGTGGAACTATGAAGTGTGGAACTATGAAGTGTGGAACTATGAAGTGTGGAACTATGAAGTGTGGAACTATGAAGTGTGGAATGATGAAGTGTCGAACTATGAAGTGTCGAACTATGAAGTGTCGAACTATGAAGTGTCGAACTATGAAGTGTCGAACTATGAAGTGTCGAACCATGAAGTGTCGAACTATGGAGTGTGAAACTATGGAGTGTGGAACTATGAAGTGTCGAACCATGAAGTGTCAAACTATGAAGTGTTGAACTATGAAGTGTCGAACTATGAAGTGTCGAACTATGAAGTGTGGAACTATGAAGTGTGGAACCGTGAAGTGTCGAACTATGAAGTCTGGAACTATGAAGTCTGGAACTATGAAGTCTGGAACTATGAAGTGTGAAACCATGAAGTGTCGAACTATGAAGTGTCGAACTATGAAGTGTCGAACTATGAAGTGTCGAACTATGAAGTGTGGAACTATGAAGTGTGGAACTATGAAGTCTGGAACTATGAAGTGTGGAACTATGAAGTGTGAAACCATGAAGTGTCGAACTATGAAGTGTCGAACTATGAAGTGCGGAACTATGAAGTGTGGATCTATGAAGTGTCGAACTATGAAGTGTCGAACTATGAAGTGTTGAACTATGAAGTGTCGAACTATGAAGTGTCGAACCATGAAGTGTCGAACTATGAAGTGTCGAACTATGAAGTGTCGAACTATGAAGTGTCGAACTATGAAGTGTGAAACTATGAAGTGTCGGACCATGAAGTGTCGAACTATGAAGTGTCGAACTATGAAGTGTCGAACTATGAAGTGTCGAACTATGAAGTGTCGAACTCTGAAGTGTCAAACTATGAAGTGTCGAACCATGAATTGTAGAACCATGAAGTGTCGAACCATGAAGTGTCGAACCATGAAGTGTCGATCTATGAAGTGTCGAACTATGAAGT